CTGTGAACATAGCGTCAGTTTCGTTATTGGGATTATTTTCATAGCGCTTTGCATGTCCATAAGTATACAAGTTATTATATAATATTAATAAAATATTTTGTGAATATCATTTTAGTACACGCCAGTACTAATAGATTGCTAGCCAAGTAAATGACATTTATCAGACTTCATTAACGGGAGGCAATGTTTTTCTTTTAATTATGTTTCATTCTCTATCAACGCTAAGTGATCGTAATAATTAATAAACTAAATAAACGTCGATATTGTTTAATTAAACGCATGATAATCCTGAACTAAAAATTGGAAAGTTCATGTGATTATGGAGTTCTGTATGAACATGAATACTTTTTTAATACAGCGAGAACATGGTTTTTTACATAAACAGAGGACTCGTGCAGTCTAGCTGAAGAAGAACAGTGAAATGCTATCTCTCTGCTTATTAATTCTTATTATTTGGCGGAAAAACTGGTTCGAAGTAGTTTTGGAATTTACGAAATAAAGAAACCAGCAATATAAATATACATTTACTAATAATAATGAATACGCTTGAGTACATTTTTGGCAATTCCCTAATCTTGACTATTCAACTGGTGTCTCAGATTGGTAGTCACTTCTGTCAAGGCGTGCAGTGATTAAAATATAGACCATATGACAAGTCAGTTCCAGTGAAACAATACTTCTGACTAAGTGTAAAGATGTGTGCATTGAGCCCTCAGAAACTAACGAGAACTTGGTCAGCGGCGTTGACAGGGCTGCATAAAGGAGATCTAAATGAAGGAGATTCTGGCCTGCAACTCGCGTATCACTATAACACTACTAAAATTTTCTTTTCTGTCGTTCACCCACTGAACGAAGGCAATTCATTCACTACGGCCAGCCAGTAATCGGCTTCGATGAATCGCACCGGCCTCAGCACTGCCGCCATTCCTCGCAGATTTGAGCCGTCATCCTCTAAGCGCGGCGTTTCTGGCTTCTGATAAAATCGTCCCACCATCGTGGTTGACAACCAAACTGTCTAGTCCGTCGCTGAGGATACAATTCTATGATCATCGCCAACCACGTCTCGTTGGTGGCCGACCTACGTTTCTGGCCAACTTAGCTTTTCCTGCTTCTTTCAACGAGAACGTCTTTCACTCCCATCCGCTGTCTCATCTTTTAATTCCCAGCGTTCTTCTTTCAATCACTCTCCCAGTAGCTGATGGCGGCGCTCTTCGGTTTTCGTGAGTGATCATGCCTCATGGCAAAACTGAAGAGATTCTTTCATGATGTTGCTGAGCAGGACGTACTTGATAGAACGTACCTTTATGGGAGCTTGATCCAACCGATCTTTTTCCTTCGTTGAATCTCTCCAGCCTGGTCATACCGCATTTTGGTCTCATGGCCTAGATAAATGCTTTAGTGTCACCTATTCGATCTTTCAACCGTTAGATATTACCTGGGCCTTCGGGAGAACACAGATTCTGCAGAAGATCGGTTCGCAGTCCGCCTTCTGTACTTTTTCTATGTAGCTCTTGTAGCTTGTCTTTTAACTACCAGATGTTTTGCGCAAGCGACGTCATCAGTGAACCTTAGGTGGCTGAGCTGCTCATCCGCCTTTCAGCTCATCCTTCAGAACGCCATTTCCAAACATGCTGTGATGAGTTTGTGGGGGGGGGAGGTGACGGCGTCCTTTGTTTCACGAGGATCCGGAGAGGGTGTCAAACAGCATAATGCTTGTGAAAAATCCAGAGTTCGCTTCCTCAACAGGCTGATAAAACCAGTTACGATGGATGCTCTTTTCTGTCAATTCACTCCAACCCGCTAGGTACCTGACAATGTCAAACGGCTTCTCGTAGTCGATGAGGGTTAGGCACAGAAGAAACTGGTATTCCTTAGCGCTCGAGAAATTTATGTATGGTAAGGAGTTACCTGTCATGCTGTTGTTCTTCCGGAATCCTGCATGTTCCCCTGACTGCCTTGTGTTCAGAATTGTTGACAGTCGGTTGGTGATGGTCTTCACAAGCAGCTTTTAGACTTGTAGGAGCAGGCAGATTGAACGGGCGTTCTTCAGAACTTCCTTCTCACCTTTGCCAACACGATTGTTTTCTTGATGGCATCTTTTCGGTGACTAGATAACAGCTCGACCTCTCTGCTAGAGCCCCCCACAGCGTTTGACCACCTGTTTTGATCATTTCAGCAGTCAGACCATCTCTCTTTGCTTTGAGGCTTTTGTTAGCTGCGCTTCATGCCGAACTTCGCTTATGAGGACCGGAAATGCGCTTCTTTCTGGCTGTTAGAATGACTGTCGGGGGGACGCGCGTCTTTGACGAAAAGTGCTACGTGTGCAAGTTCTTGCAGATAGACTGCGACAGC